GGAAGCTTTTGCTGCCTGCAACTGGAAGGTGATTGGAAAGAAAGTCTCTTGAGTCTGATCCCCTCTTGGTTAGATGGACTCAAAAGCAGGGATGGGGTGGTGATCAGGTCCTGACTGTGGAGTCTGACCTCCCTTCTAACTTGATAGTCTCTGGGTAAACTAATTTTTCTGAGCCTCAGCTGCTCTACCTTTGTTACGAACATAAAAGTAGCTGGCTCAGAGTTATGCTCATCTACCTGTTTGATGCTAGAGCCACTCACAATTTAAGCCTAAGCACCTGGTCTTTTTACTGGCTTTAAATCTTTCAAGACCTGAGTAATAATCAGTGGCACGACTTCATTTTGCAAGCTGGGGTAGTCGAGGCCAGTGACGGGCAGTTTGGTCTCTCCCAGGCTAAACCTTATTGGCTGGCTAGAACTTCCGGCAGAGGTGGCCAAGCCATTGAGGGACTGGACAGTGCCCGCTGCTCCTTTCGTCCTTGTGCAGGGGTTGTCCTTAAAGATGGCGTCTCCCAGCTGAATCAGAAACGACACCCCAAGGTTTTTTGTCTGCATGCAGACGCTGAGTGAACTGGGACAGGGATAGTGACCTGCATGGCTTTCAGCGACGTCTGCAGTCCTGACAGGTCTTCCTAATGCTTTATTCACTCTGTTGATGCCATTCAGGTCATCCAGCCACTTCCTGCCTCAGTGCAGTTTAGCTGCAGAAAGGCTTGGTGACGCAGATGGACAAATACGGCCACCTACCATTTACTTCCCCAGCAGATATTCCAGTTTCACCACCTTTTTATTGGATACAAAGTCATAAATTCTCTGATGCCCATGTGAGTCCTTTTAAATACATACACTCAGGTACATTCGGCACAGGGCATCTGTGGATAATGTGGAGCAAAGTGCTGGGATGGTGATGCCTGGGTGGGGCAGAGAAGTGGGGCCAGGGAAGGCCCCCTGGGGGCTGGAGGTACAGGCACCACTTCAGAAACAAAACCAAAAAATGCTCTCCACCCCTCCACCTCATTTGCTGGGGGTGGGGGGAGCTACCCTCTCACGGCTCAGGCGCATTGCAGCCTGGCTGTGCGGGGAAGGCAGGCCCGGGGGCCACTTGTGGAGGTCCCCGCTAGCGGTGCCCACTAGAGCCAGGCCTACCGGTGCCAGTCATGAGGCAAGCCTAGGTCACCTCAGGCCTCTGCACCTAAAAGCAGGACCCCTGCTAGGGCAGGGCTGAGGCCAGGGAGCCCGAGGCCAAGCCTCCTGGAGCCATGCCAGCAATGGCAGACAAGGCTTGGGCTCATGGTGGGGAAGCCTGCCTGATTGTCAGGGCAGTCTTGGGACTGGCCAGGGTCCCGGGGGGTTGGGGAAGAAATAGGAGCTGGTTGCCTTAGTCGGCCCTGGTATTCTGGTCTTCACCCAGTCCTAAACCTTATCCTCAGGCAAAGGCTGCAGATGAATACACTTGTCCAGGAATAAATACATACACACGATACACAGCAGTATATACAGAAATGCGGGCCTGGAACAAGGCTGGGTGAGAAAGCATGACCACCAGGGTTAAGGAGAAGTGCCGCCAGGCCCCTGGGGGAGGGAATTCTACTCCTCAAGGACTGATGGGCTAGACAGATCCCATCAGTTTGAGTTAACTCCTCTGGGCACGTGGGCCCGGCACCCGCTCACCATCTCCCGTCTTCAACCCAAGTCCACCAAGAATTGGGTCTTTGGCACCAATAGTCACTCTGGAAAGGTCTTCAGCTTAGTGCCTTAGAGGGACTTAGGGACTGACTGGGCAGCTTCCCACCCATGGCCCAAAGGACCAGGGGAACAAGCAGAACCCAAAGGGAAAGGATGGAGCCAAACCTTGGAGCAGCAGGCGTTGGGAAGGAGGTGGCTTTTTCGTTGTTGAAGGACTTCCCATGAGAGGCCGGCTCAAACCACTCACAGGACCAGGAAATCCTGGACTGCCTTGCTCCTTAGGTGGTTTCTCGGCCAGTGAAAAGCCATGGTTCTGGGCAGCACATTTCCTCTCCCCGGGGGGTCAGACATACACAGCATCTCCTTTGTTCCCTGCTGGTGCCATGGGGAAGCAGCCCAAGCAAAGCCTGAGGAGTTAGCCTACCATTGCAGGCTATATAACAGGGAGAGGTGGTAGGGACACCAAGTGCTGGGGCCCATGGGACCTCTGCGTGTGCCTGGGACCCCCGAGCAGGGCCTGCCTTGATTGGGTCTCTCAGGTACTCCTCTCCCTTGCATCTTACTAGGTGTGAGATGGAGGAGGAGGATTCTCCTTTGAGTGAGTGAGGGATAAGTGCCTCAGGGATGGCCAGGCCCTCCGTCCCTGTTTTCCATCCTCAGCCTGCTGCGTGGTTGCCAAAGAAGTGAACAAATGGAACAGGCCTGCAGACGAGCTCCCCGCACAGCAGCAGGGCTCATCCCGCCGAGAGTCAAAAAATAGCTGAGCTGGGGGACAGGGGGCCTGCAACTTTCTGGTTCTCAGCACACGTGAAGTCCAGGGTGCAGGAGTCTGTCAGCCCCAGGGGCAGCTGTGCGGTAGAACACGCTGTGACCCATCGTTCCCGTCGGCAGGAGCCTGTGCAATACGTACTCCCACACATCCTTTACACACACACTAAGCTGGCAAATACAAGGTGGGGACTTGCTGGCCAAACTTCCTGCCAGCCAGGAGAGGGGAGGCCCTGTTCACTCTTCTGCCCCCAGTGCTGGTGGTGGTCAGGGCTGTTGCAAGGATGGGTGGATGGGTGGGTGGAGTGGGTGAATGAACCTACTCCTGGAATCAGTTCTTTCAGCACTTTCTCCCACTCTAGCTCACTGCCCATGCACCCTGACCTCCTTTCCTGACATTCCAGTGGCTGCCCACCCTGGGAGAAATTACCCAAAGCCTTCTATTCAGGGATGGAAGCTTCCTGGGGCAGAAAAATCCCTCAGTAAGGCAAGCTCAGGCCAAGCAGGGCATCCCTTTGTGCTTTGTCCAGGAGATTGGGGGGGGGGGGGGGGGGGGAACGGGGGCATGGGTGGGCAGCACCTCCGGTCCTAAGGTCTCAAGCGGGAGCTGTAAAGGGTGCAGTTGGCAAGGCAGGACAGATGCACCCAGGGTACCCTCATATCTTTTCCAGGTCCCTGGAGGACACAGAAAAGTTGTGCTTCTTCCTGTGACTCCGGGGGACAAGGCCGGGGAGGTGGGAGCCAGTGGAGCCAGCCGCTCTGGAGTGGGGGATGCCACACAGCCAAGGCTTTGTGCACGACTGGACAGGGAATTGCCAACATGACACCCTTGGTATTTGGGGTCTTCAAAGGGCAAGGCCAGAATAAGCCACGGGAGGAAAAGTCATCAACAAGAGCTGGGACAGAGCTGGGTGTGGAGCCAGGGGAGCTGGATGCTGAGCCTGTGGGGTCCCTGCTCTGGAGGACTCATTACAGGGTAACCCAGGCTGGGTCTTGATGTCTAAGCCAGGCTGTGGCAGAAAGTTGGGTCACTGCAAAGGGCTGAGGAACTAGAGGAGTCCAGCCCCAGCCAGGACCAGCAACCTAATGGTTAGGGCAAAGCTGGTCCTGTATAGGAGAGAAGGAAACCCTAAGATGGATTGAGGCTAATGTTTGAAAGAACTTTCCAAATGAATGTTGGCAGGACCCGTGGCCTCTACACCACCGTGAGGGTTCTGAGAGTAGGAACCGGGGAGACCTGAGTCTTTGGAGCCTTAGTGCCAGAACCTGGTCTTGCTGGAACCGTGCAAGTCTGTGAAAACCTGCTTGCGTTCTGTGACTTCTAAGCCAAATGGCTGTGGCTCAGGCCCCAGCACTGCCCCTAGGCTAAAGAACTCCAGCATAGCCCCCAGTCCATAGGGCCAGTGGAGACTGGGGAGGGAGGCAAGTCTGATGAGGGTGCTCTTCCTCATTCTTGGCCTCATGCGTCTGGTTCCCTACCAAGGCTACATCTTCAAGCAAGCTAGCCAGAAAAGGAAGCAGCCCAAACCACCCTCCTGGCCTCCTCCGGACCCCAGCACAGAAGGCAGCCCAGTGACTCCCTCCCACCACAGCACTGGAGATCCAAAGGCCATTCCATTGCTGCCCAAGCACCTGGAATAGAAGTTGTTTCTTGAGGACAGGAACTGCTTCTCACTGCTGATAAAATTTCCAGAGCTGGTTCCTTGCCTCGCCAGAGGCTCAGGATTGGTGGAAGGTATAGAAACATGCACCTTTTAGCTCTGAATTTAGCTCTGGTGTGCCATGGGGGTATGTGGTGGTTGGGAGGAGGGGTCTTGTTTCTACAGCAATAAAAACTAAGTTTTCTCTACTTGGCAATTTCCCCACTTTGGGAGTGGTAGTTTCAGTATCCTGGGGAAAAGTTCTAGATGAATGTTTTGCCATTCCAAGCCCATTCCACTACCTCACTGCCCCCTGCCCCCCACTTTTGGCTGACCACATTCCCAGACCCCCAAGGCCTGTCTGTGTTATCCCTGGAGAATGTGGACCCAGAGCCTCGGCAGGCTGTCTGATGGGGGTGCCCCACAGAGGGCTGGAACAGGGCAGGGGGAGGAAAAGAGCCCTTCTTGCCAAGTCTGAGCTGCTTTGGGGAGCCCCGTCTGGCCTGGGGACTAGCAGAGGCCCCTGACAAGGGGAGGCCTGCCCCAGCAACCCAAGCAGCCGAGGAGCCACTCAGTGATTATGGCACATCCTCGGGGCGATGACACCGGGTGCTGGTGGTGACTCAGCTCCTTCCTGGCTGTGCCCAGAAGGCTGCTCCAGTTGGGGGTGGAGTGGGGGTCGGAGGGCAGCTTCTGTCCAAGCCCCTGCCCTGAAGAGCCAGTGCCCGACATCAGGCCCGTTGCTCCGCTGTCCCAAGAGGAGGACAGGAAACTGTCAACCCCTCCCTGGAAGCTAGGGATAACACAAGGCCTCCGAAGGTCTAGTCCAAATCAGGGTCCCTCTGGAGGTCCAAAGAGAGTGCCCTGGTGTGGGGCCGGCAGGGGCCCTGCCGCCCCCCACCCCGGGTTAGCAGCCGCCGTCCACCTTGATGTGCAGGATCTTAGAGAAGCCGGGCCTCCGTCGTAGGGCCTGTAGACCGAACCCTGGTTAGTTCCCCTCAGGTCGAGGCAAGTGGGGCCCTCCCATCACACACCCAGGTCACCAACCCCAGCCCAGGGATGCCACCTGGGGTTTTGGTTGGCCTAAGAGCCAACTCCTTACCTGGAGTTTTGTCACCATGTCCTCAAACAGCTTCTGGGCCTCAGGACTGCTGGGCTCTTTGAAATAATCAGCAATCCCAATCTGGACCACGATGGACTTGAGGTTCCGGCAAATGCCTGGGAAAAGGTGGGTAATAAGGTGATGGCTCATGTTTGGCTTGGACAATGGGGCTGCTCTTCTATCGCTAATTCATGAAATCAAAACCCTACAGAGATGGTCACGTGCCAGGCATTGGGAACCACCTAGAGGAGAGCACACTGGTGGCACCCAGGGGATCAACCACACGGGAATGCAGGGGAGGAGGAGGGCAAGGTCATAGAGCAGAGGCTGCAGTGAACTCTGGGAGGATGAGTGGGAAGCAGCCAATTGTGCAGGGGCTCTAGGAACTTCCCTGGCAGAGGGGACAGCTGTGCCATGGCCTGGGCATCTGGAAATGAATTAAAAGGACAGAGTGGCTGAGGTGAGGCTGATGGCTCTTCTCTGGAGCATGGAGGAGGGGACAGGCAGCAAACAAGTTGGGAGCAGAGGGCTTAAGGGACTAGATGTTGCCATGAAGTCAGTGGAGGAGGAAGAAGAAAATCAGGTGGCTGAGAAGGTTCTGGAGGTCATGATTTTAGAGGTTGAGCAGTTCTGGTGGTCAGTCCAGGGCCAGGCCATGAGGCTGATGGGGAAGGAAGAAGAGGATCCTAGAAATAATAAGAAAGTCAGGGAGCCTTCAGTGCTGACGATGTAGGTGTGACCAGGGCCTCAGGAAGGGGAGGCCTGCCCCAGCAGCCTGAGGAGCTGAGGAGCCACTCGGTGGTTACTGCAGATCCTCAGGGCGATGACACTGGGTGCCGGTGGTGACTCAACTGTGCTGGCTGTGCCCAGAAGGCTGCTCCAGTTGTGGGGGTGGGGGGGGGGGGTCGGAGGGCAGCTCCTGTCCAAGACATTGCCCTGAAGGAGTGTGAGCAGCCTGAGCTGGACACCCATGTCCTCAGTGAAGGTGGAGGAGTGGCCAGGAGTGAAGTAGGTGGCTAGAGGGAGGTGGGCTCAGAGGAGGCATGGAGTCTACACCATGGAGAAAGGAGTCTTCACCCTGAGAATGGTCCTCACCCTCCCACCCACTCCAGAGGGTCAGCTTAGAAGAAGGGGATACAGAATCCAGAGAAGTACAGTAACTTGCCCAGTCACACAGCTAATAAGCAGTAGAGCCAAAATTGAGACCTAGGTCAGTCCAGCTCCAGAACCTGTGCTCCTAACCTGTCTGTTCTGCCTCTGCCCTTGGCCAGAGGCTCATGTGGGGCAGATGGCATTGTACAGCTCATGTCTCCAACGTACGTAGAGCATAGGGCAATAAATGTTGAACCAAACCATTTGGACCAGATGCTGGCAAGACTTGAACACCACACTGCCCGCAGAAGACACTTGTGGCAAAGCCAGGATTAGCGTCCCGGTTGGTCTGCCCCCAGTGCTGGCTTGCTGACTAGGAGCGACAGACAGGGAGCTGGCTATGCTACTTGCTGATGTGGCACAGTAAGTGGTGACAGTGGTAGCCCCCCTCCTGCATTCCCATCGCTCACTGTTGAAATGCAGCAGGGCCTTGGGGGTGACGGGGGTGGCCGTGAGCACCAACATCTCCAGTCCCTTCAGGCCTTCCCGGCAGACCTCAGCTGCCACCTCCTGGGTGATCTCCGACACATGGTCCAGCTCCAGGACCTGCAGCCGCATGCAGTTTCTTGCTAGGAAGGGGGAGGAAGAGGGGAGGTCCTGCTGACAAACTCCCCAGGCTGCCTCCCGCCCAGTGCCTTGGTGCTCCTGCCACCACCCAGGCTGCAGCCCCAAACCCCCTGGGATTTCAGTGTTGCACCCACACCTGCTTCCCACCACCCTCCACCCCAGTCCCAAGGAAGGACTCACCGAGTGATGCCAGGCCCTGCACCCCACAGCCAGCACCCCCAACCCCCAGGGCCCGAAGGTGGGGCCAACAGCGGCCGATCATCTGCAGGCAGCGGTTACTGAAGCGCGTGGGCTGCTGGCTGGAGAATGGGGCGGAGAGAAGGCTGTCAAGGAAGTTTCTGGTTGCATGACACCCCAAGCCGGCTCCTCTTTCATGCCCCGCCTTAGGCTGGGGCCCCCGCCAACCACCCAGCTGCTCCAGTTAGAAACCTGGAATCATCCCTGACTCTTCCTCCCTCACCTCCTGCCAAGACCTACAGATTTTGATTCCTGGATAACTCTTCGACCTCTCAATTCAGGCCACCATCCACATTCATCTGGATTCATCTAGAAGAATCCTACACACTGCTGACAGTGAGTCATTCATTCCTACATTCTCTCAGTCATTCAACAAATGGGCCTCAAGTGTCCACTCCAGCCAACAACTGAACTAGCCCCTGGGGATACATCAGGACAATATAAACATGGTCCCTTCCCTCAAGGAGTTGGGGGAGGGAGGGACACAGAAGGTAACCAATCTGATATAATCCTGTTTTTAAGATCTAAGATACCCCAGTGGCTTCCCAAGCACTCTCTAGATGAAATGCAAAAATCTAAACCCCTTAGGCCAGACCTGCCTAACCTTGCCCCAACCTTCCTTTCCACACTCATTGCTCCCCTCTGCCCACCACCCACATCAAACTCTCTATTTCCCTGAACACTTCATCCCTCAATCTTCGCCCTGGCAGCAGGTTCTCTGGCGTCTGCTTGCACTTCGAACCAGAGATATGGAAATGGGCATTCATAGCCCCTACACTGAGAACTGCGAGTACAGTGTGGACTGAAACATAGAGAAATTATCGCAAAGCAAATGACAGCAGGGGTTGGGACAGGGTGCAGTAGGACTGGAGGCGGGGAGCAGTGCCAAGTTCTGCCAGGTGTTCACGAAGGACACTGGATGCCCTGGGAGGAGTTGTTCTGTGGAGAGAGGGCTTGGTGGACAAAGCGCAGGGACAAAAACGCCTGGTCTGAGGAACTCCAAGTAGAGCGGTGAATGATCTGGATTCTCTAAAAACCAGCTCAAACAAATGTGGCTATTTCTAGCTAGCGTTGCCTGAACACCTACTGTGGCCCCTGCAGGCCTTATGTACACATCTCACTGGAGCCATCTACAGTCCTCCCAAAACTGAAAGATCTCTAATACCATCTTCACTCTGCACTTGAGAAACTAAGACATGACTGGATTGCCCAAAATCTCACTGCCAGTAAGCCAGGGCATCACCCCCTGTCTGATTTGGAAGCCCTGCTCCCAACACTTACTTACACCGACTAATGAATGCGAATCTGTCTCCCCATTCAGCTTTTGGAATGGCTCAGATCTGCTCAGTCCTCAGCCCCAGCCCCAGCCCCACCCTGTCCCCACCTGACCCCTGCCAGGGCTCACCAAGGGTGAAGTGGCGCCACCTGGAGGGAGACAATCTCTCTGCAGCCTGCACCCAGAGCCCAAATGACCTCGTGGCCCACGGGGTCTGTGGCACTCCTGTTGAAAAGACAAAGGTGAGACCACCCACCCTAGTGGCCTTTGCTCCCTTCCCTTGGACCATAGAACTCTTGAGTCCCTTTGCCTAAGACCCCTGGGGAAAGAGTATGCAGACCCCAGGGATCCCTTTGGCCCGAGGCCAAGAGGGTGTGGACCTTGAGTCTAGTGGTGTGCACCTACCTGTAGGTGACGGCCTGCAGGGCACGGCAGTAGCAGCTGGCCAGCCAGAGTGAGCGGTCAGTGAGGATGTTGGGACAGTGGGAGATGCGCAGGATCAGCAGGTTCCCCCCAGCGGCCTTCAACAGGGACTCCAGCCCTGCTTCCAGGCAGCCTCTGGGGATGGCCAAGAGGTCAGGGCACTGCCTGTGGCCACCTCCCCCTCTGGGAAGCAACCCCCAATGGAATTCTGGGTCTGCAGCCTGCAA